ATGATCCGATGGACGGGAATGCCGCAGATGGGGCCGTGATTATAAGTGCGTCCGAGTGTGGATGGTCGAATAAACTTGCATCCTCCAGTGTGAAGGTGATTGGGCATGTGCGGGCATTGATCGTTTCTCTGAGGTTCGAGGTCATCACCTGTTTCCCCGAGTTGTAGGCCCTCCGCGCGTATGCCTTGGCCTGCCTCCGGGAAGACGTCGGTGCATCTCGGTTGGTATTTACTCGGGGAATGGGACTTGACCGTCCCGAGGTCGGAGGCGTCACGCCTGATCGTGGCTGGGTGTCGGCTTCTCGGCCCCTCTTCCCAAGTCGGTCTTGGGGCGAGCCGACGTCCGTTGATCCGAATACAAAAATCTCTTTGTCTCCTTGGGCTCGAAGCCTCTTGAAATTCGGCCCCACTTCATCTCCTTCGTCGTCGTCGGGGATTTCCTGTGTTCTTCGTTTCCCTTTGTTGTCGCCGGCCTTGGTGAATTTCCTCACTTGTGGGTTACCAGATAAGTTTCATCAGAGCCGACAGCAGGCTCAAACACTCGTCTGTATTGTGGCCCAGCGATCGGTGATAGTCGCAATATCGGGCTTTATCGAGTTGGTTCTCTGGGGTCTTTACTGGTCGGACATCGGGAATGATTCCCTTTCCCTTTATCTCCTCATAGATGGTGGTTGCTCCAACCGAGTAGATAGATCGGTATCCAGCCTTCAAGTCCTCCTGGTACTGTTTCCGGGCTGCACGTACCTCGGGATCGTTCGGGTCTCCCCATCTCGGGTCCGCGGAGGAGGTCTTCTTGGACGAGTTGTTAAATGATTTTTTTATTTTTCTCCGACGTCGACTTCTGCCCTTGAGAAGTGAATGTGAGGTCCAGGACCGACATACTCTCTTCGGCGATCACGTGGTTCTGCGCTCGAACCAAGAATTCCTGGAACGTGTTAGGCTTGTTCTGGCAAAGTGCCCACCTGAACATCGACTTGGGCTTCAATCCCGAGATGGCGCTCACTAGGAGGGTTTCAGGGTGGCACGGTTCCATATACTGCACACGTTCATTGAAGCGGGCAACATATTCCTTCAAGCTTTCGTCGTCCTTTTGGACAATGTTAGTGATCAACTCTTTTGGTATGAGGCAAACTTATGCTCCTATAAAATAGGAGCGGAAAGCCGACCTGAGCTGAACCCAACGTCGGATGGATTGTGCGGGCAGTGAATAATACCATTTCTGCGCTCTTGGTCCCAAAGTTAGGGAGAACATGCGACACCTGAGGGCGTCGGTGGCCCCATGCAAGTCCATCCATGAGGTGTAATGCCCGAGATGAGCGTCGGGGTCCGACGTTCCGTCATAAAGGCCGATTTGCGGGACTTTTATTTTCCCGGGTAGTGGCTCTAAAGTCAGCTCGGGGGATAGTGGGAGTCCATTTCCACGTACACGTGGCCTGTCTCTTGACTGTGCTGGTTGGGAGGCGACCTCGCCCTTTGGTTTTGCAAAGTTTTGAGTTCGGCGACTCTCCTCCTCAGGGCTTCCATTTCGGGGTTGTCGTGTCTAGCCATTCGGCCCCTCACTATTTGGTGTCG